AGCGTACAGAGCACAAACTGGCCAGCGCCTCCAGTCCCTTGGTGCACTGGAGGGTTTCAGCGTTGCAGGGAGTCCATCAATAAGGTCTTACTTAGGTCGCCATGCATAATTGTTCCAAAATGCACTTTACTTTCTGTAGCAGCCTGTACATTGTCACCAACATCTCAAAATGACAAAAATAAAATACCTATTAAAAAGTTCTTCTGATGCGGCACATGCCAGGGAGTTTTCCTGTAGGGTGGCTTCTTTGTAGCTAATGGTACCTTTCTTCAAAACCTGCTCTATGGATAGTCACAAGTGGCTGGTAAGAAGCACTATCTTATCAGTCTACTCAGCATGCCGCTAAATATTCACAGCAGACTGAAGGGCAGCTAGAAGTTTTATAAGCAGGCACCATGTGTCTTACTAAATCCTCACTCCTGGACACCCAGTTACCTCTGCTCTGGCAGCCTCCGGGCTGACCTGCCACTCTGCCACATCTTCTACCGCCCCGCTCTTGGAGTAGTCGGTTCCACGGCTGCAGCAGGGGTCTGTAACTCACGCGTTCCAGCTGACTTACCCCGCCCAGAGCAGGCTGGCAGGAGGAGGAGCGCTGCGTCGCAGGAAGGGGTGCGAGGGGATGCTTCCCGGGGTTCGCAGCCATCTGAAGCCCCACTGCCAACTTAGCCGGCGTTGCATCTGACTGCCCTTCCAAATGACAGGGGAGAAGTCCAGAGAACAAAGTTCATGAGTTGATATCTATTCATTTAGTTAGCAAAGTTCACTCTAGCATCAGTTAGCTCTCAATAGTCAATAATATGCAAACAAAATGTACTCTAAAGATCTGCATAACCAGTTAGGATGAGTTGTTGTAGTCATACGTTCGTAACAGTTATTCAGGATGCATCTTGCCTTCAGGTAAGTGACAGCTATTGACACCAAACAAAGACTAAGGAAACACTCATGAGTAAAGGCCTCTGTAGGCAAAAAAAAAAAAATAGACTTATGCTACTGACCCCCTGCCAGCCTGTTCCTGACCAGTCAGCTAGAGAGAACTGAGTACTCACACTGGTACCTCACCTGTTTTTCTCTTTTTCAGGGACTCAGTACAGCGACCAAGGACACTTACGATGCTCTCCAAATGCAGCCTTTGCCCCCCCGCTAAGTGGGAGTCATGGAGGGGAGGGGCAAGGGTGAGAGATGCCCACCTGCCTGGGAAGGAGAGGAGGGAAAGCCTTTTTCATCCAAAACAAGCACTGTGTATTTCCTCAGTGCAACAGCCTACTTTGGTTGGTGCACAGAGGGAGTACGTCTGGACTTGGTCAGTCCCTTCTCCCTTCCCTCTTGAATCATGTAACTGCGAGCTTTAGCTATTAAAATGTACATACCTGTAAAGTTGTTTCCAGTAATAGTGGTTATTAGGCCGATTTTTGTAAGATTTGTGTTGTGGGACCAGACCACACCTCCTACTAACACAGCTGTTTCCGTAGCTCTTGCTTGCCTTCCAGTGGTATCAGGACACGCAATTATGGTTTCATTGCATTTGCAGAACTTGTAAAGATAGGGCTGTAGTTATCATCTCCTGTAGTATTTATCTTTAGACTATTTGACACAGGCCAGCTAAACCTGTTGCTTTGAATTTAGCTTTTAAAACTTTTTTCTTTAATTGTAAAAAGTGATGTGATGTTACTGTAGTGAAGGACAGAGGCCAAATGCCAGCTTTTCAGTGTGAAGCAAACGAGCACTAAGCTCCAACAAAAGCTCAAGCAATGGCATTGCCACCCATCCAGCACCTGGAGCTAAACAAGAGCCAGGTAACCTGCGTAACGGACTTCCCAGAAGGCAGAAGATACCCCCTTACAATGAAAACGAGACTGGACTCCGGTAAAGAGGGTAATACTGGAAAAGCCAGGAAAACTCACCCTGGAGAATCCCATTTGGCTGAAGGGTTTGGCCGAAACTCCTGCCCCCTCGCATTAGCAACATCTACAGCTACCACTGCAGAACAGGCTCTCCTTGTAAGAGTTGATACGGCAATTCTGATGTCCAAAACAGACCAGAACGATCACTTCTGGGCAACAGAAACTGTACAAAAGCCAAGGTAAATGCAGTTTCCAAACCAGTCTATCATCAGGTTACCTTTGAAAGATGATGCAGGTATCATCCAAAGAGCTACTACTTCAGTAATGTAATGCATTGTTGATGAAGTAATAAAGTTAGCGTCAAAGACCTGTGTGTGCATGTGTGCGGTCAACAGCCCTGGGAATGGTACAAGCTCATTAGCTGATGCAGTCGGGCCGGCTGCACCGATTTACACCCAGCAGCGTAACCTCCTAGGCAAGCTGAGGAGGATGCTGTTCCGACAGGAGCCTCTAAACACGTCCTGGGAGGTGGGATGGGATGTTGGAGAAATGCTGTAAGCCCAAGTATAAACGGGACACTCACCTCCTGCTGCATCCTCAGTTTTGCCAGTGACTTACAAGGCTGTGCCGTGAAGCCTGTAAGCAACTCGGCAAGGACAAAAACAGCCCAGCAAAATAAAGGGTATTTTAACTTGGGCCAGGAGCTGACCACGTCATTCCGCCAGTCCCGACAGAGGACTAAAGAGAACTAAAGCAAGGCTGTGGCAACAAGAGCTGCCGCTGTGGGCACTGCCCAGGTGAGGTTACATCTTCATTTCTTAAGGGACTAGGTTAGCAGCAGAAAAACTTGCTGAAATTGCTGCTACGTGAATTACAAGGCTGTGCCTAACTTCATAAGCAGTAAAACTGTATCTGCAGTAGGTGCTTGTAGCTTTTGAAGACTATTTCAAAGACACTAAATTAGTGCAAAAAAAAAAGTAAACTGAGACATCCCATGCATGGCAATGAATGTTTCTTGCAAAGAATTTCCTAGATTGCTTACTGTTCTTCTGCAATGACAAGGAAAATCTGAGACAATTGGGTCATACCTCAAACAGCTAAGCTGAAAAACTAAAGTTGCTACTGCAAAGCACTCTTGTTCTTGATGCAAGAACAAAGAGTACTGAAAATATCTTTTTTTTTTTTTTTTTTTAAATAATCATCATAACCATATTTGCAAGATGTAGAAGTCAAGAGTTTTGTCAGTCATAAAATACCAACCACTAAACAATGGGGAAGACATTCTTAGGAAAAAATATCACCTTTATGCTCTTTATATATAAATGGATCTCGATTTCAAAAAGCATCCAACGCTTGTTTCGGGGACACTCACCGTAGGTGTGAGCTCAGTCTCCTCTTTGCCTTCGGGAAGCAACTGAAGCTGTTTTTTCTTTTAGGAGGGGAGCTGATAATAGAGAACAAAAGCTTCGAGCGGAATGAAAAAAACCTGGCCTCTCCTCCATTCTGACAAGACAAAGAGCATGGAAGAACAATCTCCTGGCCCAGTTTGATGCACCGGGGGAAGGGGAATTAGCCTTCCCCTGACACATTTAAAAAACTACAAACAAGGGCATACATGTTAAAACACTTGGAAAATGGTTTAATGATGTTTACAACAGAAATGAACTGTACAATTACAGTAAGTTTAATATATATAAAAAATTACAGCAGACAAATGCATCTACACAAAATCTACCTTTTCATTCTGATTTACTGTAATCTACACAATCTCTCAATGCCTACAGCTA